CAGCATACGAAATTTCATGTATTTGCTATAAAGTGACTAATGTTATTCAATTAATTTCATGATCATTAGTTGTATTTCATAAATAAATAACATCATTTCAGCCTCAATTTACCATAGAACATGCTTGGAAAGAAGAAGTTGACTCCAAAAAGAGCCAATTTAACTCATGGTCAACCACCTTGCCTCCTCTCATATGATCAATCCAAATGATCTGGGCGTTGATGAAGACGAAACCGGCATGCAGATGGTAGGTAAACATAAAATGGTGAAGTGTAAGGGAGTTGTAACAACTTGTGAAGGGAATAGTGCAGAAGAAGATGCAACGGTAACTGCATATGAATCTGACGACTCCTTTGAGTGGGATGATGACTTTGTGAGGGAGGAGTTACATTATGATGATGAAGAGCTGTATGAGGTGAGGGAAAGTAATATAAATAAAAAGAAAGCTCAAACTAATGTGATCTGGACTTCTAAACGTCGAAGCAACTTTCCTCAAGACGAGAATTTGGGGGGGAATGGTTTGAATGGTGAACAACCGGAGCAAGAAGAAAGTGAACATGAAACTGTCTTAGCACCTGAGAGCAGTGAACAACTAGATTCTAAGAAATGGCCATCATATTGGACTACCTATGAAGGAGGCTATGAATCAGAACAAAGAGATTCAGATGATGAAGATACCTTACTATCAGATGGTGAATCAGATGCAGATGAACCTATGCTCAAGCGAATAAAAGGGAAAAACTATGAAATATTCAATGAAAAAGCAGACATGAAAAATGTGGAGTTGACTGTGGGGTTAAGATTTGCATGTAGTGATACATTCAAACAGGTTGTCTTGGCATACTCTATTCAGAAACATAAAGATCTGGTTTATATGATAAATGCAAAACATCATATTCATATTGGTTGTGCAATGTGTATATGGGAATTGACTTCAGGGTCTGACCTTGTAGATGTAAGTGCTTGGCAAATTAAGTCTATGCAACCTATTCACAAATGCACCAGGACCTTCAACAATAGATTGATAACTGAGAATTGGTTAGCAAAAGAATACCTTGACTATGTTTTGAGAAATCCCTTGATGACTCCAAGACATATTAAGGATGACACGAAGAAGAGGTTTGAGATTGTTGTGAGCAGTAGAAAATGTCATAGGGGCAGAGAGAAAGCTTTAAATGATGTGACAATGTTGATGCAAAAACAATATGGTTTGTTAAAGCCGTACTTGCTTCGGGTGGTGAAGACTAATCCAGGTAGTACACGTGTGTTTCAATGTTTCTATGTGTGCATTGCTGCATTGAAAGAGAGTTTCCTAGACACTTGCAGACCTATCTTTGGCCTAGATGGTTGCTTTTTGAAACATGCTTGTGGGGGAGAACTTCTAGTTGATGTAGGTAGAGATGGAAACAATCATATGTTTCTAATTGCTTGGGCTATTGTTGAACGAGAGAATCAAAATTCATGGGAATGGTTTTGTAAGTTGCTTAGTAAGGACCTAAAGATGGATGACGGAAAGGGGTGGACAGTGATCCCAGACCAACAAAAGGGAATTTTATCTTCTAAGAACTGTCTTTTCAAAAACAAATCTGATAGCTTTTTATTTACTTAATATGCAGGGACTCGTACATGCAATAGGTTCATTGTGGCCCGAAGCAGAGCACAGAAAGTGTGTTTGACACATTTTCTCGAACTGGAGCAAGAAGCATAAGGGGAAAGTGCTAGAAAAACAATTCTGGAGATGTGTAAAGGCCACTAGTATAGGGGAATGGCTGAATGTTAGTCCCTATATCTAACAATCATACAACCATAAGAATGATAGAAGAAGCAGATAGATTGAACAGAAATTTGGTACATCGTGTAATGGCCGCTGCTCTCCCTCTAGAGAGAGAGCAGCGTGAAACTATTCTTTTCTCTATTCTGCATCTATGCTCTATGCCTTAGGTTTTCTCATAAGTTAGCCTCCTTTTATAGGCTAACTTATGGCTTACAAGAGAGGCTAATGGGCTAATTTACAATTGTGGCTCATATTACACATTTAACTAACAACTACACAAATACAAAGACATCTAACTAGATTGGACACCAGAAAAAGTCCTAACAATCTCCCCCTTGGTGTTCAATCTTGTTTGATTAACATTGCAGCGCAGATGTCTTTGTCTTTGTGTTCAGTTGCTCCACAATGCAGCTCAGCTTCCTTTGTCTTTGCACTCGGCTTCTTGAAAAGGCTTTTTGGAGAAATCCTTGCAATCTCCCCTTTGATGTCTTCATGGCAATTTGTTCTTTGATGTCGGGGAGTTGAAGAATCTTCATGATGTAGCTTGTGATCTTTACCTTTCAGAAGTTGCTCTTGATCAGCATTAATGAATTCCGATGGCGCCTCTTGAAGGAGTGTTCAGGTGATATACAGGCGCGCACAAGATTCATCTTCAGGACTTGAATACTTGACCTTTCTCTCCTCGAAGTTTACATGGCACAGCGGAAAATTATTGTTTTTGAGGAGATCTTGTCAGTGGCACAACGGAAAAAGATAGTTGTCAGTGCCACTGTAGTCAGTATCACTTGCCTCGAAAGGAGACAGTAATGAGAGATGAGGTTCCCCGTGAAATATGATTAAACACTTGTCTGTTGGGAGACAAATGAGTGGTCTTGGGTAGGGTTATGCATGCACTGTTGGACAAGATGCAGTGACTTCTACCCGGGATCTGAATAAATTCAGTCCTGAACCTATGGGGATTGTCCAGAGTATTTGAGTGACTGGGAGTAAATGTTCAATTGATAGCAGGAAGTTGAGGTAGCAGACTTATCATTGATTATTGTTTTCTTGCTCACTTGAGCCTTCTGCTTCCTAACGCTCATAGTATTCACTCACTCGCACATTCACTCATTTACTCTCGGTTTTGTCCCTTGGGTAGGCTTAGTTGGGTTTACTGAGCTATAGGGACTTCTCTCTCATTCTCTTTCATTCCTTTGTTTATTTTCTCTCTGTGCTCCCCCTCAACTGAAGCACTCGGTATGCTTTGTTATCATTTGGCACTGGGGAGGATAAAATTGAAAACTCCCCCTTAAGTGTTGCATCCTTTGAGAGAATCCTTGCTTTGTCGTTGTGTGGCGCCAGGAGGAGAAAACTGTAACTCCCCCTCTGATTGTGCAAGGTTTGATTGCTCACAGCTTGATATACCTGCCATGTGTATGGAGCAATCTGAACGGGTACCACACATGACAGTTTCCCTGAGCTCATCATCTAAACTTTCAGCACATTGATGATCACACATTGTATTGTTGATGAGTTAGGGGAGGCATCAATAGTTGATTGTTGATTGTTGTGAAATGACCGTTGACGCGAGGTCGATTGAATTATCTACGAGTTCCGGACCTTACAGTGTAGATTAGACCAACTTTGACATTTGGTTTGACTTTGGTTTGATTTTGGAAGAATTGACCAGATTTGCCTCAGTTTTGACCTCGACTTTGACTTTGGTGATTTTTCGGAAAACAAGTGATATATCCCTCAAAACCGGCGAGTGAGGGAGCGTGAGATTGGGTTCTGGGGTTCCCTTGGGAATTCATGTAGATCTTTTCACGAGCTTTCCGAAAAGGTATTATACGCGTAAATCGGATCACCGAGTCAAAAGTTATGGCCAAAATAGTGTAGGACATCGAAAAGTTTGAATTTTTAACTTTGAAAAACTTTTCGAAGTTGAGGTTCTCGATGTTGGACCTCGAAAACCTATTCTCAATGTTTAACCTCGAAAACATGTTCTCGATGTTGAATGTCGAATTCATCTTCTCGATAATTGAGTATCAAAAACATCTTCTCGATGTTGAATATCAAAAACATCTTCTCGATGTTGAATATCGAAATCGTCTTCTCGATGATGAATATCGAAAACTTCTTCTCGGTGATTGAATATCGAAAACGTCTTCTTGATGAATGAATATCGAAAACTTCTTCTCGATGTTTGATTATCGAAAACTTTTTCTCGATGTTGAATATCGAAAAATTCCTTTTCGGTATTGAATGTCGAGAAACATGTTTTCGAACTCCAAACTGCGAGAAACGTGTTTTCGAACTTCAATCCGCGAGAAACCTGTTTTCGAAGATCAATCCGCGAGAAACCTGTTTTCGAAGTTCCATCCGCGAGAAACATGTTTTCGAGCTTCAAACCTGCGAGAAATCTGTTTTCGAGCTTCAAACCTGCGAGAACCTGTTTTTCGATAAGACAATATTGAGAAATCAAAAATTCGAAAATTACAGGTTTCAAAAATGAGGATATACTGCTTGATCGGTTCTGAGAGGTGATTCTAACAGTATACCTTTTACAATGATTGGATAAAAAACAAGATTTCAGAGGTTAAAATGAGAAAACATCGAAAACTTCCAAAACATCGAGAAACACCAAGCTTCGAAAATCTGCAACTGTACAAACAAAGATTTCTTCACAAATGAAATTGCAGGTTGTTTTCAAACAGATTTCGATCCTAATCTTCCAGAAATCGCTGAAAAACATTGAAAACAGATCATCAAACCAAAATATCGAAAACTCAGTTTTTCAAATAGGTGTGGTCTTTCTCGATAAAGGCAGATCCGAAAAATGCAGATGAATTCAATCTATTTCACGCCTCAGCTCTGATACCACATGTTAGTCCCTATATCTAACAATCATACAACCATAAGAATGATAGAAGAAGCAGATAGATTGAACAGAAATTTGGCACATCGTGTAATGGCCGCTGCTCTCCCTCTAGAGAGAGAGCAGCGTGAAGCTATTCTTTTCTCTATTCTGCCTCTATGCTCTATGCCTTAGGTTTTCTCATAAGTTAGCCTCCTTTTATAGGCTAACTTATGGCTTACAAGAGAGGCTAATGGGCTAATTTACAATTGTGGCCCATATTACACATTTAACTAACAACTACACAAATACAAAGACATCTAACTATATTGGACACCAGAAAAAGTCTTAACAGTGGGGGCTTGTGGAGAGGGAAACACCTGGTTTATACAACTGGCAAGGCTATTTGGAGATTGTGATGCTGGCTAAACGATGTGGCCTGAAGGTTCGAGCTGTAATGGCATTTCATCAGTGTGGCACATGTCCTGATGATCCCTTATGGTGGGTAGCATTTCACGATTCAATTGTTTATAAGATTAGCTAATGTATGTCCTATCTATTAAGCGTAACTGCGTAATCAATCAATTGAATACATCACTAATCCTAGGCTATGAGGCTATGTCAAACCTTGTCTTTTATATCTAAGGATTGATTGTCAGAGTAACAATAGTTTAAGGACTTTTAATTCATCATTGATACATTTCCCCATGCTAACACGGGAAGGCCCGTGATGTTGGTTCATTTGATTGACTAATATGAGTATATGACAAGTAGTATATTTACTAATGACATGAGGATTATGGCAGTGTATTAATATGACACAAGAGTTAGTCATGCAATCAGAGTAGAATAAATATTTAATTTTAGCTGCAAAGTAGTGAACTAATGTAGAATTAATATTTAATTTATTCTAGTTGCACATGCCCTGCTCAAGTTTATATTACAATTTCTGGCATTACTTACATATATTCACACTTATAACCTGATTCAATAAGCAACTGATACCTTTGGAAAGTCATAACTTGATATAATATTCATTTTTGTTTGTGTTTGTACCAAAATCAAAGAACAACAAGTTTGATAAAGACCAAGAGTGTCGACACATGGTTGAGCAAGCAGAGTATGAAGGACACATGCCCAAACAAACAAACATACGTATTATGAAAGAAGAAATAACTAATGCAGAGACATAAAAGAAATATCGAAAAGGAATCCACGGGGCAGTTCAAATCCCTATCTTCTTAGCACTCTAGCGGTGACGCGGTGACGCCTAAGCACCTTGCATCTACAATATTGCGCTGTCCTCCGTCTTCTGAAAGAACTCAAGCGTGTGGTCTTATTCTCACACTCCAGCCATTGAAGTTTGCAGGTGAGAGCAGCATGGCAATATCCCTTATGGGAAGGTCCATTTGAACCTCAGCATCAAGGACTTCTGCATTGGCTTGCACAGCTAAAAGATCATAAGATTCGGTGGCCCATTGATTCTGAGCAAGAACAAAATTATGGGGCAAAATTGTATAGAGATCATAGTTGCTCGCCAGATGTTTGCGTATATGGTTGTGTTAGAACTTTTTCTGGTGTCCAATCTAGTTAGATGTCTTTGTATTTGTGTAGTTGTTAGTTGAATATGTAATATGGGCCACAATTGTAAATTAGCCCATTAGCCTCTCTTATAAGCCATAAGTTAGCCTATAAAAGGAGGCTAAATTATGAGAAAACCTAAGGCATTAGACTATAGAGGCAGAGTAGAGAGAATAGTTTCAGGCTGCTCTCTCTCTCTCTAGAGGGAGAGCAGCGGCCATTACACGATGTACCAAATTTCCGTTCAATCTATCTGCTTCTTCTATCATTCTAATGGTTGTATAATTGTTAGAAATAGGGACTAACATGTGGTATCAGAGCCGATTCGAGTGTGATCGTCGAAGAAAAAGTTTTCGAAGTCCCCTGTTTTCATCTTTTCGATATTGTACTCTTTTAATCGCTGTAATCTCATTTTTGAACGAAAAAGTGTAAAAGATGTACTGCTGAAATCGCCTCTCAAAAACGAGCAAGCAGTATATCTTAGATTTTTGATTCGTTAAGTTTTCAGATTTGAGGTTCTCGATATTTTGATTTCGAAAAGCATGGTTCTCGAGGTTTCTGCAGGTTTTTCGATCTTCAAACTGCTCAGATAGGTTCTCGAGATCAAGGACTCCACAGAAAAGCAATTTTATCTGTTTAAAAACTGTTTCTCAATTTGCAGGATTTCGAATCTACGTTCTCGATATTAGTTCTCGAACTGAGTTCTCGAGGTTTCACTTCTCGATACTCAGTTTTCGATATTATATCTCAATATCTAGTTTCCCGACTTTGCAGGTTCTCGACAGTTCTTCTCGATAGTCAACTTCTCGAAATCAAGTTCTCGAACTGAGGTTTTCGAAACTGACTTCTCGATAAGAACTTCTCGAACCTAACTTCTCGATAAATTAGTTTTCGATATTTATATCGAAAACTGCTTCTCGATACAGTTTCTCGAACTCTACTTCTCGAACTATTTTCTTGAGCTAGGTTTTCGATATTCTGTAAGTTAACTTTTCTGATCAAATTACTCGAACGGTCTTTTAAAGTCAAACAGCAAGGATGGAAGCGTTGGCACTTGGAAATGAAAACAGACCTCCAATCCTGAGGAGAGGAGAATATCAGATGTGGAAGACAAGGTTCCTAAACTTTCTAGAAGGTAAAGACAACTCGTCTGCAATGCTGGAATCGCTTACTGAAGGACCAGCACAAATCTGGATGGATGTGACTTCAGATGGTGTAAACAATCCTCCCGTTGCTGTTGAAAGAAGGTTAAAAGCAAAATCTGAATACACTGAAGCAGACAGACTCAGAGTCAAGGCAGATCTGATGGCTAAAATGTACCTGCTCCAAGCTATTCCTAATGACATATACATACTTATTGACAGCATGGAAACAGCTAAGGAGATGTGGGATGAAATTAAAAAACTGATGATTGGAACTGAGTTGGGATTGAAGACGAAGAAAGCCAACATCCTGACTGCCTATGATGGATTCAAAGCTCTACCTGGTGAGGCGCTCCATGAAACATACAACAGATTTGTACAACTGATCAATGAGATGGGAAAGATCAAGGTTGTCAAATCAAACATGGAAATGAACATACGCTTCTTGTCGAGCCTGCCACCAGAATGGAGAAGAACTGTGAAGAATCTACGTCAACATCTGGATTTGGATGAACTTGATCTATGTACTGTGCATGAGCACCTTCAACAGTTTGTGAATGACACTGCTGACATGGAAGGAAGCTACTCTGGGAATCCATTAGCACTGATGATGGAAGCTCAACCCAAGAGTTCATCCAAAGTTCAGAAGAAGAAGAAGGCAGTTGTTGTGATGTCTGAAGAGGAAGAAAGTGAAGAAGAAGTGGATGTAGAGTCAGAACTGGCCGAACTGCAGAAGAAAATGGCCCTGCTGACCAATCAATTTAATAAACGGTTTCAAAAGAAAGGAAACTCATCCAACAAGCTACGAACCTCATCTGCCAACTACAAAGCAAAAAACAATGATCAGAACTCTTCTAGTAGAGTTGTTGCAGCTGAAGACCCTCCTAAATGCTTCAATTGTGGAAAAGCTGGACATGTCATCAAAGACTGTCGCTTGCCAAGGAAGAGGGACTTCAACTATTACAAACAGAAGATGCTATGGAACAAACAGAAGATGTTCATGGCTAAGCAAGAAGATGATAGTGCTGCAACACTCACTGAGGGAGATCCATGGCAGGAGGAGAGTTCTGACGATGAAGAAGGAGAAAACTTGGCCCTGATGGCTATTGTTGAAAAGGAAGAAAAAGAAAAGGGTGATGCTGCGATCCCCAGTGGAAGTTCAAGCTCAAACCACACTGTAAGTACTTCTGAATCTTCTTGCTCTTGTACATGCAAAGTTCATTCTTTTCAAGAAAAAGATGACATTATAAAGGAGTTAAGAGACAGGTTAGATCACAATTACAAAAACCTTCTCACAAAACTTGATAGAATTTCCTCATTAAGTGTACAACTTGAAAATGAAAAGGACATGCTGAAGAAGCGAAATTCAGAAGCAGAAATGCTTACACAAAAAGTTGCAGAACTCACTAAGAAGCTGAGTGAAACTGAAGTAGAGCGAAATTGTGAGAAAGGCAAAAAGGATATGCTATTTGATAAAATAATCATTCTTTATAAGAAAATCAAAGAATTAGAAGATTTAATTGCCAAAAGAGGGCAGTCTGAGCAAACCATTTTTCTAAATCAGAACAAGGACACTCGTTTTTACAATTCTAGAGAAGGTCTTGGCATCACAAACCCTCGTAATCTGAAAAAGATCAATTGACGTCAGCTTTATGATATCAATTACATGGGTTTGGGATTGACCAAGTTGATGCTCTTTGTCGGGGCAAAAGAAACTGCTGAAGAAGAAGAGACAAAGAGATCAAACCCTTCTAAAGCTGAGGTCCCGTTCAATTATGACCCTTTAAACGAAAGCTATGCTACAAAAGAACTAGTTTTCTCACATGATGAGAGTGTTAGTTCTTATCCTTCTGAGAAGGAAGTTGTGTCAGATCCAGAACCCCCTTCAACCTCAGATTCAGGTGAAGAAGAAACCTATATCCCTCCACTAATCAGATAGGGATTTGAACTGTCCCGTGGGTCCCTTTTCGGTATCTATTTTATGTCTCTGCATTAGCTATTTCTTCTTTCATACCCTAGTTAGTTAAATACGGTACGGGAATTAAACGAGGTTTAATACATACGCGTTTTATTCGGTAACATGAATGAAAAAGACGGTCAAAAATTCGTTGAAAAAACGTTGACTTTTAAAAAACATGTAAATACGTATACGTGTATAATACGTTATCTACTACAAAAATTCGGACGAAAAATACAGGTATTATTTTGAACATCTAAATGATATATTTCATAAAATAACATATATAGTAAAAAAGAAATAAAAGTATACACATATTCAAGTAGCAAATCTCATTACTACATACAAGAATAGTTCATAATTGCATAAGTCGATGACAAAATAAAAACAGTAATCAAGTCTAGGACATAATTTTGAAAAATAATGTCAAAAATGATTATCTTTATATGATCATCAAATAATAATACTCAAGTGAAACTCCTCATTTTCATTAAGATGACATATGACAAAAGTTGTGTGATTGCTACACTTATTATTGTTTGTGTAAAAGATTATACTAAAAAACGTTAGGTTTAGAAAAATCTTAATTTTGATATGCTAGCTTAAAAAAACATCAGAAATCTTGTAGTATATTACTTCGTAAGTTTTAGTATTTCAGGATGCTAGCTTAAGCCATCATGCAATTAATTTTAGTATTTAATAATTGCACTGTAACAATACAAAAACACGAGATCATAGGGTGAACGTTTTCATTTTTACTTTTACACTATTGTTGATCTTCTATGCATTTAGTGCATTCATTCAATTGGTCAATTCATGTTTATGTTTTTTTGTAAAATACGGGAAAAATACGTTTTATATGGGAAGTAGGAGTTTTTTTCCTTTTTAAACGGGCCGACATTTCCCCCCTTTTTAAACGTGCTTTTTTGGATCAAAAAACGGTACGTGTTTAAAACGCTTTTAAAACGGAAAAAAGCTAACTGGGTTTCATACTACGAATGTTTGTTTGGGCATGTGTCCTTCATACTTTGCTTGCTCAGCCACGTGTCTACACTCTTGGTTTTTATTAAACTTGTTGTTCTCTGATTTTGGTACAAACACAAGCAAAAATGAATACCGTATCAAGTTATGACTTTCCAAAAGTATCAGTTGGTTATAAATGTGAATATATGTAAGTAATGCCAGAAATAGTAATATGTACTTGAGCAGGTACACTATGGAAAGTTATGAAGGTTCAGTATATGTGAAGTAGAAGACTCATGCATACAGTGAAGTGAATGAGAACCACTTGGATATATGGACTTTGGATTAGGGATTTCATCCAGGAGCCCAATAGCTATTTGCTAGAGATTTTGAAGAAATGCCCGTTTATTGATAAATGCACTCTTATTTTGCAATTAATATGTCCGTTGGATCTAGTAACCTATTGTCCATTGTCCCTTCATGCTATGTGTATTTAACAGACCCCGATTCATCCTCCATACATGAATTCAACTAATTGCAATTACTGATTGCAATCGTGGTTTACTCCCATGCAGGAAGGCAGTCATGATCTCATGAATGTTTTAACCAAGTCCAGTTTCTCTTATTTTTATTCAGTGATATTTAGGTAACTAAGAGTCCTATAGTCTATAGCATTAGAAGATTTAGGTAACTAAGAGTTTATTGTACAGTGTATAGCTTTGTGTACATTTTATTATCATATGGTGCTTATCCGATAGACTTTTCTCTTGGTGGAGTAGTAGAATGGCTGTTAAACATCTCAGGCAATGATGGGGGTCTAATGTTTTTTTACTGGAAACATTGAAGTAATGTACTGAGAGGAAAGAGATCAAAACAGTAAAATATATGTTCCTCAGACCCCATGAGGGTAGGATATGAATGGTTGTTGTGGTAGGCTACATGACCTTGTCCTATTCGAACATTGCTGTTTTTTTATAAAATTTTACAGGTCTCATAGACATCCTTTGGCTTTGTTATCTTTTGGTGGATGAATGCTATAAGACATGTAACCAATTATGCCTGTTTGCAGGCTACTTTTGATTGATTTGTCAGCTCCGTGTTTTCAAAATATATTGATTGGTCATACTATTAGCTACGGAAAACATCATAGAAGGCTTTGTTAGAATGTTTTTACTTGGACTAAAATTTTCTGGTCTGATCTGGCATGGTCTGAACTGATTTGGTCTGGTCTGGTCTAGTAAATGTCGTGTTTATGTGTATTTATAACTGTCGAAGTTTGGTCAGATTTAGTCTGGTATAGGATTGAAATAAGTCCAAGTAAAAACATCCTTTCCTGGCCTAGAATGCTCTCTTGATTTATGGGTGTTACTTTGAGAGCCAATGAAGTTCAACTTGATAAAAATTAGAAAATGGGAGAGTGAAGCATGATTTGTGTTAATGAAAAGTTAGTCGTATATAAGATCTAAGATAATGTTTCTAATTTTGTTATGAAATGTCAATACTTTCACAGTTTATTCTGTCAATGACTCAATGGCAATATTAAATTTCATTTTCTTGCTTAAAAATTAAATTCTTGATCATTTTTTTTAAAATTTATGGTGTTAATTTGTGTGATGCGCCTAAGTTGTGAAAGTGTTTTTTTGCAAGGATCCCTCTTCCTCAATGGGTGATAGAAGACATAAAAAAGGATCAAGATTTAGCATATTCAGATAGGTTTGGGAGACGCGGCATGGAATATGTTTCCCTAGGATGTGATGTTCTTCCCATTCTGCATGGACGATCTCCAATACAAGCATATGCTGATTTTATGAGGCACTTCAGGGACACCTTTAGACCATATCTGGGAACCACCATAACTGTAAGATGCTTCTTTGTGTCGTGACTTTATGTTATTGTGTTTAATACTCCGCAATACCTTACCTGCAAAGGATATGTTAGATTGAACCTGATACTTGATTCACAGGGGATTCAAGTTGGAATGGGGCCCGGTGGTGAATTAAGATATCCTTCATGCCCTTCACTAAAGCTAGCAAGGACATGGCGCTCACCTGAACTTGGTGAATTCCAGTGCTATGATAAGGTATCCTGCACTTGAATTTTTCAGAGCTGTTACTGTAGTAATATTAGGGCTCTTCTATGGTCTGGTTTAAAAAATGCAAAACCTTAAACCGAACAGAATAACTTAGTTGTGTTTGTCTAGGTCAATCATGCTTTGTCAGTTTGGTTGGTTGTAAAGCTTAAATCCAAAACCGCAAACCACAAACCGCGTTTGGTTAACTCCGTTCTGTGTGATCTGTTTTGGTTTGACTTCGTTAAGGCCCAAACAATATCCTATGGGACTTGACTATTTTCTTCTTGGTTGGCAGTATATGTTGGCTTCTCAGAGTGCATGTGCTGGGGAAATAGGGATGCGTGAATGGGCAAATGGGGCCCCCATTGGTGCTAGCAACTTGATGCACAACCCTGAAAGCACAGAGTTCTTCAGAAGCGAGGGTTCTTGGAACACACCATATGGGGAGTTCTTCCTGAAATGGTACTCTGGGATGCTTTTGCTTCACGGAGAAAGGGTTTGCAAAGAAGCAGCAACTGTTTTCAGGGGCATTGAGGTCAATCTGACAGGTAAAGTAGGCGGGGTCCATTGGCACTATGGTACGCCATCTCACCCATCAGAACTAACAGCTGGCTATTACAACACCTCAATCAGAGATGGACTCCTACCGATTGCTCGCATGTTTGGTAGATATGGATTCACGCTTTGTTGTGCATGTTTCGAGATGCAAGACGTGGAAGAGCAACAGGTGAATCCAGTGAGCAGCCCTGAAGGTTTTCTAAGACAGCTACTTCTTGCTGCAAGAAATTGTGATCTTCCACTTGTGGGTGAAAACTCCACGACCACTTTGGATGACAAATTTTTTGAGCAGGTGTTGAAGATGTCGAAGTTCTACTTGGGTGGTTTGGATAAACCGTCGTTTTCCTTCAACTTTGTCCGGATGGACAAGAACTTGTTCGAATATCGGAATTGGGTTAGTTTTACTTGGTTTGTGAGACAGATGTCAGTTTCCAATATTGGTCGAGGTAGGATAGGTTTTGGGGAAGGTGATGCACCAGCGTCGTCTTCTTCTGCAGCCAGCATGAGAGCAGTTCTTGCCTAGTAGCATGCGAGGCTTCTTGCTATATGCAGCAACTTCTGATTCATTGTTCTGAATTGCAGTTTCACGAGTAAATTTTTCTACTCTGCATTTTATCAGGGTTTCCATTTGATTCTGAATGGGAGCAAGCGAAACACTCTTCTCGCTCTCTCACTCACTCACTCTGTATGTTTGTAGTGTAAAACAGTGCCCTCCAATTATTTTGAAAATGGATGGCTCATGTTTCTGTTAGGCACTTGCACTTTGGGGCTTCAAGTTTTTTCTTTGGCTTGTCAAGGTGTGTAATTGAGGAGAACCAAACTCCAGTCATTACCAATAGTATTGAAATTCCACAAGTTATCTCTATTAGGTGTTTCTATATATTCAAACAAATCAGAATTAGTTGCTACCAGCTAGTCTTGGCGTAATGGCGTATCCAGAAAATTTGGTCAGTGGGGGCAGGTTAACACTGTAAAACTACCACACAATTTTCAGAAATAAATATTAATTGAACAATCAATATTTTAATAAAAAATGTAAGAAATGTATGAAATATGTAAGTATAACTAATTCAAGTTGCAAATAAACAGGTATGTTTCAATATTAAGTGTGAAAAGATGTGATTGAAATTACATATTACCTCCGTCCCGTTGTAAGGTTCTCATGTCAAAATGTTACAATTATTTAGATAATAATTGAATACGGTAGTTCGAGTATATTTTGAGAAATAATTTTAATATGTATATAATATATTGATGTTAGTATGGATAATTATAATGTTTTTTTTTACAGAAATAACTATAATGTTATAATACAAGATTTTTAATTATTTTCTTAAATAGAAATGAGAACATTTATATGAGACGTCTACAAATGGAAATTGGAACCTTTTTATGGAACGAAGAGAATATCAATTATAGTCACACTAAAAAAACACTAGTTTAAATTGATCTGGATATTTGAGCTATAAAAAAAAGCTTCAAAAGGGAAAAAATAAGTCCATAAAAAGGTGCAGTGGATAAGTTTTGAACATCCAACATCCTCCAAGTGGGTTGACACTCCGTCCAGCAGACCAAGGCGCACATATAACTTATTTACAACAATGAAATATTTATACGTTTAAATATTTTCTATATATATAATGGGGTTGGGTGGGGTTGAGTGGGGGCAGCTTCCCCCCTGCCCCCACAATAGATACGCCCCTGGCAACAACAGACGAGAGCCATTTCATGTTGGGTACTCCAAACGGTAGAATCTATTTCTATTGTTTTTACATAAGGGTTGCTTTTCAATCTCTCAAGGAGAATGTCGTATGGAAGAAATGAATGAAGCTCTTATCCCAGGAAGATTTATGCATTACCTTTTAAAATTGAAAGAAAAATCTTTTGATTTGATTTAACATCTAAGGCTACGCATTAATCAAATTCGGATAAATGTGAATTTCTCCATTCTCAGTGGTTCGATGGTGTTAATTGGTTTATACACACGCACAGTCGCACACACACATATAAATAATATATGGAGTTACATCTTTTTACACTCCATTTACATCTTCTTACGTGCAAGTTATATTTAGATCAGACTTGCTTCAACAAGTCATATGGTTACGTTACATTTTTCGTAGACACAAGTTACATTTGTCATAACATGAGTTATATCACAAAATAAATCTCTACTATTGAAAAAAAAGTTTTTTAATCAATTTTTTGTGGCCCTAATATTAAAAACAAAACATATTCACTTTTTACCTTAAGTAATTGAGCAATTAGACTCTTTCTTCATTGTTTACATTGAGATTAATGTTTTATTTCTCATACTCTGTATTAGACAAGTTACATTGGAACTGACCTACAATTACATGCTCATCAACGTGAGTTACATGTCTTTACATGCATACGAGTTATATCACCTTCCTATTGAAAACAAAAAATATGTTTAAAAGGTTGTGGGAGTAACGATGCTCACCGTGGGATGATCCACGGTATAACAACTGACATTACTGCAATGCCACAATGACTTTCCATCAACGGTGGGGTAAGGGGTCGGATGTGTGCAACCTTACTCCTATACTAAGGTAGTGTTTGCGTTTTCTTGTGTTTCTCCAAAGTGAATTTTTAAAAAAAATATTGAAAAAACAATATATAGTAAAACAAATGTATTGTTTGGAAATAGAGTTTTTTTTAATTTAAAGTGTAAACGCTAAAGTCTTTATAATGTAATGTTTGGTGAAAACACAAAAATTGAAAAATGTCCTTGCCGACCTAGCATTTACTTTTCATCCCACTAACATAAATCTTTACGTAATTCGCATTCTCCTTTGAACCAAAAGCTGATCAGCAAACACATGAGGCACAAGCAGCATTTGAAGATCAATTGCAGCTACCCAACTAGATTTGTCGGCCGCAATAGCAAGTGCCAGCAGCTGGCCGGCCGGCAACCAAGTACACATGCCAGAATCGACTACTTGCACAATAGGGTATTGTCTTACCTCACTGCAGGCGGGAGACATCATTCATGGACGGGCTATCCATCAGAGCTACCATGAGAGTTCTGTTGCTAAGTAGAGCATCTCCAATGGGAGGGAGCATTGCAGCTGATGTGGCATAGGAGAGAAATAAAATAGAATAAATATTTGGTGTGTAGGGAAAATGAAAAAGATGAGAAAGATAGAGGTAAAAATGGACCAAGGTCTATGACAAAGTCCATATATGGACCTTACACAGGATTCGAGGAGAAAAAGTTGATGAAAAGTAGGTTAAAATTGATATAAAAATGAAAATAAAAATAAATTAGGAAATACGTGAGTCCTACATATAAAAATTGTGAGATAAAAAATGGGACCCATGTGTAAGGGTGTGTAAGAGACCACACCCTTGCATTGGAGTTGCTCTTAGCAGTAATATTCATTAAAGAAGAAAGCTGAGAGCATCTCCAATGTTATAATGTCCACGTTGCATATGTGGCATGAGTGATAACCACATAAATATTAGCAAATAAATTATTTATCTCCTTATTTGAATGATTTTATACAATTTTGGTAAGTTTTTCCCTGCAATGTCAACAATAATGTCAACATCTAGACGGTCTCCTTGACAGTGTGGAGAAAAACTTACCAAAACTGTATAAAATCATTCAAATAAGGAGAGAAAGAATTTATTTACTAATATTTATGTGGCTATTTCTCATGCCACGTGTGCACCGTGCACATTTTACCATTGAAGATGCTCTAAGTGATGATATGATGTATCACTGTAGCAACTAGGCAGCTTGTAGAAGGGTAAGAAGGGTATTTTCGTATATTCAAGGATATGATTTATCCCCAAAGTTGGTCTTATTCACAAAAAAACCTAGAAGCACCTAAAAGCAGATCTAATCTAGCTTTGTTCTTTTGGCTTAAAATAGCTTAAATCAAGCATAAATTTTCATTTGCAAACACTACTTTTAGCTTTTTACCCTCCAAAAAAGATGAGATGTGCCTTTTTAAGCATTTGCAAACACTGCTTAAAGCACAAAAGACTATTTCTGAATGACTCATGATGAAAATCGCGTCGAAAATATATTTTATTAATAAAATAAAGAAAATATTGTATGAAAAATAGCTAAAATGGTCATTTAGAGTAACTTCAGTCAATACAGTAAAAAAAATAACTTCAACCTTACTTTTTCTTATTATTACACAATTCAGCGCACAAATCAAAATTTACGTGTTTGGTTAAAAAGTTAGCTGATAAGCTGAAAAACAGACTCACCAAACGTGCTCTCTATGTTCTACTTTTATGCGCCATTTTGTTACCTCAATTTTTTTAAAATTTACAAGGACCGTCAACATCTTAATATCTGCCATAGCTTTTCATGATTTTTCTAAATACTACTCCCTCGGTCCCATTTATATTGTCTCAGTTCCTATTTACTTGGTCAACACAAATCACTTTTAATTTCTTACTTTATATATCAAAAATTTATCAAATTTGATTCAGGTTTTGCGACTTCGTAAAACTTTAAATGTAGTTTCTGAATATGTAATTTTTTTTCCTAAAAATAATTTGAGTGCGGACAAGGATTTGTTTGCTTTATTGTCGGTCTAACATCGTAAACCGTAAAGAGACAATATAAATGAGACGGAGGTAGTACTTTAAAGGGTGTATGACCATAAAATTTTCTTTGTTAAAAAAACATGAACTTTTCTTTCTTCTCAAAGGAAAGAATTTATTGTATACCTATTTATATTAGAGCTCTTTTATTAATAGAGACATTTTCCAGTTTTCTTTTTTTGCTTCCCGTTCTTCAATTTTATGTTTTAATTTTCCAATTTTTTTATTTTCAATTTTTTTATTTGCAATTTTGTGTTTTCATGTTCCAATTTTCAATTTTCAAATTTGAAAATATATTCATCAAATTTTTTTCAGAACCGAACTAATACAACTGAAGTAGGGTACGCAGTCTCCCACGCAGCAGGCCGCCCATCACACATTTGCCCAACAGTCCAAGTGCCCAGACAGAAGCAGTGAAGCAGCCTCTTCTACGCAGCAAGCCAACGAGTGAACGACGCTTCTCGACCGTTTTGCGCAGCAACTTCAGCAAGCCAGTCGCCATTCAGCGGCAGCCAAGCGAACCAACGACCAACTTCACACCTTCCTCAGTTTCTCTTGCACCCGCTCGGCTTGCGGGAAACTGGAATTTCAAGGCTTCCGCCTCCCGCCTTGCAGGAGTCCTAGAGACCTTCCTTTTCCCATTTTGTGTAAGTTTTTAAATTTATTGTGTATTTTTGTAGTTTATTCAACATTATTTCCTTTCTTCAAATTGTTAATTTTGTGTGCAAGTTTATTTATTATTAATTCGATTTTATGAATTGTTAGCTTTTGTGCAAGCTTGTAGTATATTTATTATTATTCTTATTCGATAAATTGTTAATTATATTATAATTGTGGATTTGTGTATTTAGTTTGTTGCAATGCTATTTTTACCATTATAGTCATATTACTTCAATTCTAGTCTAGATTGATTGATAAGAATTCATATGAAACAATTTTCTGCATCGATTCCTAAAGATAGTAAAGAGCTGAGCATTTTGTGTTCTTCCTCAAATAGTTTAATTTTTCGTCAGATAATGGCACCGAAAATAATATTAAAAAGTCTCAAATAGAAGTTCTGAAGTTGAATTGAGAAATATGTACTTCGTATTTGAAAAAATTGAAAATGAACTCACTATGAGGCGATTTCAGAGTATGGCATATCGAAGACAAAGATTGTCGCCTCCCAATCATTCCCGTTCATTTATTGTTTTTCATTACTATATTGATGATATTTATAATTTATGTGCTAATGTGCCCCTCCAACATCCAGAGGCTGGTTCCGTCACCGACGGCTAGTTTGACTAATTATTGTCCCTTTTCTCTTTTAGTTAGAGACCCAACGTTTTTTTTTGAAATTCTTCACTTTGAAAAAATGATTTTTAAGAACGGGGACCAAACCGCCAGGTTGTCGACCGAACCGGACACGGACCGCCAAGTTGTTGACCAGACTGGTCCGGGACCACCTCGTCAACCCGACCGGACAAGGACCGTCGAGTCGTTGATCAGACCGGACAGGGACCACCGGGTTGTTGTTACCGACTTTTGCGGATCATTTATGGGTGACAAAGTCTATGTCTAATCATTGGACTTCTGATATGGGCTGAAATTATCTTGAGCTTTGAGTCTATTGTAGTGATGTTTGATTTATTAAGTTTAATATAAGTATTTTTCCATTCAAAAAAATAGAAGATAGCATACGTATGATTTTGGGCTGATTGTGGCACACTAGGTTTGTTGGTTTTTGAGCGTTTTGTTGTGTCTGTATGATTTGCCAACATAATACTCCGTACTACGTAACAAACTAGGTAAAAGAAAGCATTGCCTGACCGAGGAAGAAGGAAGCAACTATGCCGCGTACCATTTGCTCTGAGAGCCCTGGCTGCCCTCGCCTCCGAGCATTAACCTTTGATACTCTTGGCCTCATTAAAGGTGTCCTTTTGTCTCTCTTTTTCACAAAGAAAAATGCATTTTTGCTGATTAAATGTTCACAACCAACGTTAATGAAAGCCCATCACTTAGCTGTAGTTTTGTACAGTGATTCAAGCTCGTGGCGGCGAAAAACAGGAAGCTCCGGCGGTAGTGGAGCGGTGGGGTGACCCGGATTCTTCAAGATGCGTGCTAGCCACTTCCATTATTGACCGCGAACATGACCCTGTATGTTGAACTCTATTAATATTCCTCATTGTTGATTTCCTGTTGAAATCCAGACCTAAGGCCTTTTTTCATTGTTTGCTTGACTGTTTCAGCTTCTTGGCGTTGCAAGAAAAAATGGCATGGTAAATTTTTTCTCTAAAGATAATCACTTTACCATTGTATCATGTAAACTTGCAGAGTAATTATTAGTTGATAAGTTGTGAAACCAAAGGGAAATTTGAGAACTGTAGAGGTCTGTTTAAAAGAAGCTGGAATGAAAGTTTTGTGAATGCCTGTTTCCTATCAGAATTTTAATATATCTGTGCTGATAGCTTGAGGTGCTTAGCCCTATCAACGGTGATGTCCGGCTTACTATTCCGAGCTCTAGTATAAGTAGCAGTGTGAGTGATGATGATGCTATTGTTGCATTACATCTTTTCAGAAAACAGAGGATGGAGTCATCAACGAGGTGCTAATTTTGTATATTTGTTTCATGTGCTTGTGAACATTCCTCACTCTGATTCATTGGGCATCTCCTGTCTAAATGTTTCTGCATTTTTTTCATATTAGGTCATGTACTTTACTTACATGCACAACAAAAGGACATGCAAGTATAAGGTCATTTGAATTCCCCAAGTCACCAGGAGACTCAACCTCTGACGCCTCTCAAACCACATGGAATGCATGTGGTTCGGGTAACATTTTGTGCTCCAAAGTTGACAGCAGTGAAAATTATGCTTTGTTCGGGGGGTAAAAATCTGTAGCCATATTACATTTGAAAAATAAGCTTTTTTTTGGGAACTATTTTATGGATGCTGGATTTGCCTTAAAATTGAAATTTCAGGAAGGGAGTTGAAATCAATGTGTGGGATCTAGAAAAAAGTGAGAAAGTCTGGGCTGCAAGATCTGTAAGTTTTTTTTAGTTTTCTTATGAGTGTACATCTGGATACAAACAGTTATATTCATTCGCTGCTTGGCTCATGTTTTACCTCATGCATTCATTTCGTGTAGCCTCCTAAAAACAGCATTGGCATCTTTACGCCAACTTGGTTTACATCTGCAACATTCCTAAGCAAGGATGATCATCGCAAAGTTGTAGCTGGAACTAATAGCCATCAGGTATTTGGATATTGAATCTTTTTGTGGATGTCAATATCTAAGGATGATATTTTTGAGTTCTCTAAAGATAATATTTTAGTTTGAAAACGAGTTGAATATCAACATTTATCCTGGGTGGTTCCTCATGGTGCCTACTTAAATCACGATCCCTATAAGTCTATAACATATTATAAAGCCCTCATAGAACTTCTATGTTGAACTGGTAATTTCTTGTTGACCTAGTACTCTATTTTAGCGTTAGTTTTTCTTTTCTCGTGAAATTAAGATTTTGTTTTATTGCTTATAGAACTAAAATAACTGCCAATATGCCAACAGATTGAGAGTTAGCTGATGTGTGGACTACCTGTAAATGGCCTGCCATTGAAATTATTAGTCAGAATAAGGGTACTAGATTAACTGATCAAGTTTTAAATTGCAGTCTTAGGCTGAACTAAGTCTTACTAAAGTCTATAAAGCTACTAACAAGTATAATACTAAATAAAGAACTGTCTTTAAAAGTCCAATCTAAGAGGCTGGTCTAAACATTTTTCGTTTTTAGCTTTCTTTGTGTTTTTGCATGGAGTTTGAAAAAGGAAAAAATGTTGAGCAGGAAACTAAGCTCGTCTGCTTTCAGGGGTAGTTTTGCATTAATTTCACAATTCTTAGAATTGTGATTTTTCATTCGGCATCTGCGGTTTAATATCTGGGATGTAAACTTTAGTGTGTCAAACACTTCTATTGATGTTGCTGGGGCATGAGCACCATTCCAATTTGCAGTGCCTAACAAAAACATAGCCCATCCCATGATCATAGTTATTTTTGTCTCATCATTGCCTCTCTACCCAGGTAGTTGATTAATCCCCTTCCAAAAACTTAAAAATGATTTGAGAATAGAATATGCCTTCATTCTGAACACTTAATTATCTTTTCCTCATAAAGTCATCTACAAGACTACAACAACATACAACATCCATATGAAACTGGACTTAAAAATTGATAAAAAGATAATGTCATGTGATGTGACTAAGTTACGCTTTTGGCCATCAGTCCATCACACGCCTACTACAACACCCTCCTTTGTTATACTGGCTTGGGACAATCATGGTGGAGTTATCTAAGTTGCAAAATTTTCCAAAAACGTTGGCAAGCAAATAATTATATCAAATTTATGGTTATTTATTCCGCAACCATCAATTCATATTAACAGGAGATATGAAATAAAAGGTCATATGAGTGAACACACATACAGAGCAAATGTAAAATCTTGTGACATTTAGGTTTTGGTACTTGTAAAAATGATAGGGACCTAAAGAGCAACAACTTCCATTGCTGGCCAAAGTTTCCAGGCGTTGCAAAATTATGTTCACTAAAACTAGTGGATTTTGCTTTAGTTGGTTAATGTTTCTTAGGAGTGCTTTTCTCCATCTTGACCCATTTTCTAATTTTATTTCTAATGCTATATGACCTATATCTATTAAACCCTTTTGCAGTCAATATAGTTTTTCACTTTTTCTGATTATTATTGTTATTGCAGGTGCGTCTTTATGATATTTCTGCTCAGAGAAGACCTGTGATATCAATTGATTTTCGAGAAACATCTATAAAAGCTGTCACTGAAGACCTAGATGGGTGGACCATATATGCAGGCAATGGGACAGGTGACCTTGCTTCATTTGATTTGCGCACAGGTATGTCGTGTGGTTCCATCTTCAAGTGCTTCTGGGTTGTGGTTTTTAATTCATTTGAATACTGTCTCTTAACTATCCATGTTTCAAAGATGCTACAACAACATTGTAGTATGTTCCAATCTGATGCTCAACAGGGATGTATTTGCTCTAAGTCATTTTTTTTTTTAAATTTCAACCATTAATTACTATAGGAAAGTTTTCCCGAGTAAGTTGTGGTTTTTAGTATTTCTCAGAATGATTAAAGGGTTACCACAGGAAGTTTCACTGGGTTACCTACAAAAATTTTCAGTGTCTTTTAACATACCTTAGGGTTATTTTACAAAACAAACATATTAGATGCTCATTTTTATGATATAATCACCATATTAGAGGTTTGTGATTACAGTTTCGTTTTGTGTCTCACCCTTCAAACCAGTGAAGTCAATAGCATGCTATAGCGGAGCGGAGTGGCACCAGGGCGCTACTAGAGCCTCTGTAGTGGACATAGCTTAGGAGCGGGCGCAATAGAGGCACTATTGAACCTTTGAGTTGTCTGCTCTAGGATTAGAGAATTTTGTTGAAACTTTGGTTTTTAAATTTTCTAAAGGGGTAAAGTAGGCTTTTCAGAAGAAGAAGCAACCCTATGAAAACCCTTCAAAATACGTAAAACCCATCCCTAATTTTAAAGTATCTTTCTTAGTCATCTTTATTCTACTCCTTCGACGACCAGCGTTGTGGCTCAAAAAATTACATACCAAACCAGAAAATATTTGGCAAAATCCAGAGAGACCTTGCTTCTTCAATTACTTACGACTACTACTGATCTTCTTCTTCTACTTTCAACTCTTCTTAGTCATCCACCACTAGCCTCGAAGCTTGTTTAGTGTTGATCCGACAGCCTTCTTAAAGACCACATGAGATAACCTTAATCATGATTAGAAGTGGAATATTAGAAATATTCTAATATGAATACACATAATGTAGTTATATGTATACACATAATGTGATATTCTGTATAAAAGTTATACAAATAGGGGTCATCCCGCTATCTGCTATAGCGCTCTCGGGGTAGGCCGCTCCACTCCGCTATCCGGAATTGACAACACTGCTTCGAACTTGATTTTGCATAGCAATGGCCACAAAAGGTGTACTGCAGGTTGGATGCAAAATTGCTGCGTAGTTGCTTAGTGTACGAGCATGCAAACTTGTAGTGCAGTTTATGTTTTGCAGTTTGAATCAAAGCATTATCCTCTTAGTTTCAATGGAATGATTATGATGCTTTATAGATTAAGTTGTTATCAGGAGGTTTAACTTTGTTTGGCAACACTCTAGGGAAGCTTTTGGGGTGCTTCATTGGTAAATGTTCTGGAAGTATACGGTCCATTGCTAGACATCATGAGCTCCCAGTGATAGGCTCATGTGGTGAGTTTCTTTGTTTTTGTTAGTTGTTGTACCCCCATCTCTTTTGAGGTGATGAGATGCATATTGCCATTAAACTTTGACTACACTGTGTAGACTGTGCTATGAATTTATCCAAGAATGTCGCTAACTATTTAGTTTACCTCTTTATTCTCTAATAGTCTAACACTCTAATGTCTACACGACTTCTTTTCCAAACATGAGAAAGTAATATCAAACAAACACCTATATGTTCACAGGGCTGGACAGCTATTTGCGCATTTGGAATGTGAAGTCCAGGCAACTCCTATCTGCGGTATTTTATAAGCTGCTGTTGATTAATAAACATCAGTTCATACCCTTAGTTGATTGAGTATTAAAGAGCTTACATTAATTTATAATTTGGGAATTGGGATTGCCTTTGAAATTGTCTTCATGAGATTTCCCAGATTTGTGATGTAGCTTGCTTGCCCCCCTTGTCTCATGTAATTTTGAATTTCCATGCAGGTTTTCTTAAAGCAGCATCTTATGGATGTTGTTTTTGATTCTCATTATAGCAATGAAGGTCAGTGTCCTGTTTCTTGATGTACAAAGTACATATGCAGGATGTTTTTTATTATTATTATCTTTAAGCCTTATTGTCAATGGCATGGTTTTAAAAGGCGTTTCGCTTTTACGCCCCTGAGGCGCAAAGGCGTTCCTGTAGCGCTTATAAGGCTTAAGCATTACCTGCTGTTACTAAGGCCTACGCATCTATTTTGATGAGGCGATGAAGCGTAGAGGCGAAGGCGGTGGGTGTTGAGGCGTAGTTGGTGCGTAAGCCTGAGATTCCACGGTTGGGCTGAGATTTTAAAAGTATGGGCCTCGTTTTTTTTTCCTCCTAACAACTAATATACGACCGTCGTTCAATACTCATTCTCCGCTTAGTCGACAAACTAGGTGTCCTCGTTGAGTCTTCTTCTTCAACTGCTCTGTTCACTGCTGTTCGCTTTATTGCTTTTGTTTTTTATCGTGTTTTGACTTTTGATTTTTTTTATTATTTAACTTCAAGTTTTGCACTACGCACTTTAGAATATTTGTACTACTACTCTCTACCAGGCTATAGTCTTACGGTTCGAATCATTTAGCCTTCATATCTATTACTCTGTATTACTTATTAGTTTATTCGTTCACACTTTAGAATTATCAATTTATCATTTATGGTTATCATTTACGAATTTGTCTTAACAATCTACATAGTATTAATTTACTTTATTAGAATCATTGGAGTTTTATAAATTCATTAAGATTGTTGTAATTTGGTTAATTACACTTTACATAAAATCGTGACTTTATTAAAGTTGATTATCAATTATTTTATTTATTTACCTATAGGCTATAGTTGATATTTTAGTGCTTTATGTTCTTTTGACTTTGGTATTTTAGAGTTTTATGTTATTGTTATTTCAACTTGGATATTTTATTGTTATTTTACTTGATTCCGTATCGCTGAACTATTATTATGAATTATCTTATACGAAATATGTTGTAGCAAACCTTTAACAAGTAATTTTGAGGCTTACGCCTTGGTACGCCTCGAGGCTTACGCCTCGTGAGGCTACCACCAACCGCCTCAGGGCTCGATTTCGCCTTTCAAAACCTTGGTCAATGGAAATATGACTGCATTATTGGTTCAGTTGTTAACACACACACACTGCATTTTCACTGTCTGCAGAGCAACAAGTTGTGAATGAGACGCAAGAAGAAGAACATGAAGAAGTGTATAAAATCACAACAAAAAGGAAGAAGGATGCTAAAGACCCCAGTCATAAAAAGAAGCCAAAAACCAAGAAAACAGGTAATAGGGGCATAGGGCATGCTAAGTAGGGCTTTCTCTGTTGTCATGGGCTGGTTGAGAATATGAGATATAAGCCCTCCGTTCTTATTATAACATCAAGATAAAATGAGTATTAAATAGCTAGAAAACCTCTATGAATGTAATAAAATGCCATGTATTATTTTATCTCTCTTCTCTCTCTTTTTCTTTTTCTTGTATCCTCTTTATCTTTAAATGTTCTTATGTTATTTTTATGCTTTATCTTTCTTAAATCTTTCGTATGCTCTTTTATCTTTTTTTTTTATCTTTCTTATGTTCTTATGTTGTTTTTATTCTATATTTATCTTTATCTTATACTACCTCCGTCCCTGAATTTACTTCCAAAATAAAGTGGCACGCGGATTAAGAAAGTGGAAATTGTGTGGTGGAGAGTTGTGCAGAGGAGAGAGAAATGCTGTGAACCACAAATTCTTCGCCAAAAAGGGAAAGTGAAGTTCTTTTTGGGACGGACGAAAAGGGAAAGTTGGAAGTATTTTCAGGGACGGAGGGAATACTTTTTATCTTACTTTATCTTTTTATTCTTCTTATCTTTCTTCTCTTTTCGGCTCCAATATCATGGATCGATTCATGTCAGCCGACCCCAAAATCTTTTGAGAATAAAGCTTGGATGTTGTTGTATTTGTAGCATTTATGGATGAGGTAGGGTAATAGTGAAAATAATCTATTAATGCTCTTTGATATCCTAAAACAACAATGCAAGGAGACAAATGTTCTGTGTTTTTTAATTTTTTCATCTCCGCTATCTCCAGAGCAAGAAGATGTGAATGAGACAATGCAAGAATGTGAAGAAGTGTCTACAATCCCAATCATAGAGAAAGATTTGAAGGACCCAAGTCGAAAAAAGAAGCAAAAGAGAAAGAAAAAAGGCAAGATTATATAATTAGAATTCTAAGCTCTTCAACTGCTGGCTTTGTTTGTCCTAGACTGGCATTTGGAATTTTTCAATTTTTATTAAAATACTTTGCAGCTGCTCAACATTCAGAGGAGCCAAAGAAGATGTCCGAAGACCCTGTAGGCAGCTTAATTGACATAGCTGAAGAGGATGCCATGCCTTCTAGAAATGAAAGGGAATCTAAAGGACAAAATGGCAAGAAGAAAAAGAAGAAGAAAGTTAAGACAAGCGGAGAGCTGTGATGCCACCTCAGCTATGTAAGATTTGCATTGGAAACCATCCATAGAGGGTGTCTTTTGAATGTAGGAACTCAACAGTGATGTGGCTCTAGACTCTCTTACAGGGTTTTGTTGGATTTGAATGAATTCTTTCATAAAATTTTCTGCCTTCTGTATCCAATTTTGCACCTGTCGAAGCGAGTTGAGTTGCCATAACTCATTTATACTCGATTGACCTGGAATTTTTTCTTTAGTTGAGTGATGTATGTTGAATGATTTATATAAAGAAATGAATATCCAAAGAACATTGCAAATTATAAAGTTCCCATTTCATTGCTTAACAAATGTAATGAGAAGCTTTTTATGAACTTATCAGTGAAGCAATCTCTCATTCTCATGATCATTAATGTGATGGGTTAAGTTAGCTTTTTGGGGTCTCGAGTAGTTTGGAAAAAAGGAAGACAGGCCAAAAAAGCCTTGATCTTGTGCCAAAAGAACATCTAGGCCTATGCGTATGAGTGGACTTAGGCTGGTTTTGGCCCGATTTGAGATTGGACAGTTCATCTGGAAACTGTGATCGGCGCTGTGTACTGGTTTCGGTCTGGTTCTTATTACTACCTTCGTCTCGCTAAGTTTGAGACAGAAGGTGACACGGTTATTAATAAAAGTGAGTTTATGTGGTTGATATTGAATTGCTAAAGTAAGAATAAAGTAGGAATGATTTAGAACCAAACAAACTTTACTAAATAAGGTATGAGACAATCTTAGTGGGACGGACTGAAATGGTAAAATGGGACAATCATAGCGGGACGGAGGGAGTATCTATCTATAGGTTTCCTTGTAGTTTCCAATTTCCATTGACCGGTTTCAACTTTTTTACACTGTAGTTGACTACTTGACTGTACTCAAAAGGTGGAATCGTAATTGCTCATCCTGGGCAACCCATATCCCAAAAGGCCAAAACAATCTAATCAGTGCTGTCATTGCTGTGTTTTTAATGGACGGAAATTACTTGAAATACTTTGAGTTGTAAAAATTAGGACCGGAACAATTAACTCCAGCTAGGTTGGACCGATTAATGTTCGGGGAAAAGTAGAGTAAAAATGTTTTGAAATTTCATAGTTATTATTACGGAACTGGCCCCAGTCCGTGAGATTTAAGTCTGGAACCGACCTAGAAGTATACGGGTCCCGGTCTCACATACCCGTCCAGTCCGGGCCCCATCTTCAAACAAAAGCCGATAAATAAAAAAAAATTAAAAAGCTAACTACCCGGCTGGGTCTCCATTTTTCACGTCCGAGGGCCGAGATCGGGCCCGCCGGATGCCCGGTGTAGGGTACCCAGTTCTGAATCGGAACCGCTATTCTGCTCCCGATCTTGGTCCGGGCTGGTACAATGCCGGTTCCATTCTCGGACTGCCGGCGGGTACACCCCTAGTTCCTGCTCTGTATTTTGTAAGCTTTTGTTACTCTATCTGGGGATGGATTATGACCGGTTTTAGGGTTTAGGGACCAGGCTGTGTCGGTACTGTGTGGGACTGGGACTAAAAATTTCAGGCTCAATACCCGGTCGGGCCGGGCCCAAACAGGTGCGGGTCGGGATCGGGTTGGGACTGTGTCGGGCCCGAGCCGTCCCAGTGCATTTGTAGGGATGAGTTTGTAGCTCTCAAGCTTCTATTATAAACTTAGTTGTGTTGTTCGTGTGCTCTTCATTTGTTTGATTTTGCTCAAGTGATATATTTAGTTGTTCTGATTAAATACCGTATCGGTTGATCTGCATCATTTTATAATTGTGATCCTGAAAAAAACCAACACAATTATAACAATAATTACAATTATAACTATAATTATAATTACAACCATAACTATAGTTATAATTATAGCTACAATTATAATTATAATTACAATCTTAGATATAATTATAATATTAATTATGACTATAATTATAATTACAATCTAAACTATAAATATAATTATACTATAATTGTAAGTATAATTATATTTATAGCTTAGATTGTAATTATAATTATAATTGTAGCTATTATTATTAGAATAAATTAACTTCTCGATAAATTTTATGACGATCTAAATAAAGTAAGAATTAGAGGAACCAAACAGCTTATGCTAACGGAGCAACCAACGACGACGAACTGACGGACGGCGACCACCCCTCGGCCCTTCCTCCAATTTCCGACTTAATCTCCTGTGCTGCCATCTCCATCTTGCAGGTAAGCGGCTCTGCGGCTTAATCTAACTTTTCTTTTCATTTTATAAATTGTTGATTTTTTTGCAACTCTATTCTCATAATCTCATTGAAAGTGTTAATTGTATTTTAATTTTGGATTTGTTGATTCAGTCTGTTATAATCTAATTTTTACCATTACACTCATATTATTTCAATCGTAGTCTTTTGGTTGTTTGACAATCACTATGTTAAGATTTTATACACCAATTCCTAAACGGCCAAGCATCGATGGTTCTTCCTCGAATAATGTCATTCCTAACAATGAAAATAATGTTAAAAAACCTCAAATATAAGTTGAATTTTAGGATGATGACATTGTTGGTGATCCTAGGCCGATTGATAATGATGTCAATATTAGAGAAGAGTTTAGGAAACGTTATTTTACAAAAGGTCCTTGTCAACCACGTGAGTTAAATTTTCCACAAACTGATTTTGGTGGGCGTAGGAGATCATTTCAAAAGCAGTGGTGTTTAAAGAATTTAAATGGCTGGGATATAAACATGGTAATGAACTCAAACGTTCCCGGGAATATTCAACTAACCTCTCCTAAAATTTGACGCATCAGTTTCTAATCAACATTAAGGTATTCAACTAACCCCCAAGTCACCCTACTGGTTCCGCCAGTGCATGTTTGTGCTTTTCGTAGAAGTTAATAATAGTTTTAATGTTTGTTTTTGTTGCATTAGTTGTTTAACGTTCGAGTTTCATGATTGAAATGCATCAATACATTTCAATATTTATTGTTGTTTAGACATTTATGTGCGGTGGTTTGGATATCAGATGATTGTAATGGATGGGTCGAGGACTTTGCAGATCAACTCCATCAGAGCATTTTATAAGCAAAAGAATCATGGTTTCATTTCGGCATTTACTCCAATAGTCTCGAGAAGAGTTTATTGGAAATCAACTTGGATGAGTCAAAATCCCAAGTCTGAGATTTCGGTTATAGCTTCAATCCGGCCCATTGAAGCCTCACAAAAAAACAGTTTTGGCAATATATTACCATGTAAAGGTAGATGTATGGTCCGAGTTTGTTTTTTACATTAAAATCAATGTTAGTTTTCTTGGTCGTCCGAGTGCTCAAGTGGAAATATTGGTTGTTTCTTAGGCGGGCTTGAATAGTAAATATATTTGATCGGATTATTAGCTTCATATTTTCACAACTATCATTGAATTGAGTAGATTCACAAATACATCATATTCTAGCTTTTATCAAAGAAAGACTCAAATTTGAACTTTTTTTTTACAATTGTACTTTGGAGTGGAATAAATAGTACTCCCTGCATCCTTAAACTGATGGTCCTATACTTTTTGGGTTCAAATATTAAGAAAGTATGTTAAATATGTTAAATGTCCCATAAACCCTTACTTTATTTTACTTTTCACTGCTTCACTTTTTTTTCATTAATGAGGGAGGGTATAAATGGAAATGGTAATCTACTTTAGTGTCTTTACAAAAAATGGTAACATGACTATCATTTGGGACAAACCAGTTAGGAAATACAGGACCGATTTTTGTATGGAGGGAGTAATATTTGTAAAAATACTTATTTCTATTTCATAAATTTCCCGCTTCTCTCTAGTTTCAATTTAAAAACATGGTCTTTTATTTTTTTTGGTAGGGAGAAAATTGCACGTAGTATTACTTGTAATCAATCAAAGTATGGTGCAAAACATCTGATATACAACTAGAAAGATAAAAGTGTCACAACAACCGGATAAAATTGCCACATACGACAGTAGAAAAAGAGTTTAAAGTTTTATATTAACAAATTAGTTTTACTTAAGTATAAGTATTAGTGCTCAAATTACTTTAGCACCTTCTATTAAAAAATATAATTGTACCGGCTGGTTAAGGGTTGCAATTGTTAGAGTATCATGTTATATTAATTCTTCATAGTTCTCTAAAAATTCAGTTACAGATTAATATGGAAGATAACATTTTCATGATTTGATTTCTGTTCTTGTTAAAACATGGAAAGAATAAACTAAAATAATAAATAAACAATATTAAATTGAATACAAGTATATGAAAAGTATAAAAGTTGATATAAATTCTAATTTTAAAAAACCATGAAGGAAAAGTATAGTTGTTAAAATAATGAAATTTGAGACTTTTTTTAATAAAAGATAAATAACATGATAGATTTGTGAATTTGATATATTTGGGACTTGGGAATATATTAAGCTAGTAATCCTATTTGATTTCAATAATTTGCAACTTTTTGTTACCTTATTAATCTCCTGCACGGCTGCACTCATAAACTGGAAGCGAAGGATTATAAACTTACTGGACTTAGATGAGCTAATTTGTCTCTTTTTATATCTGCTACTTATAATATTGTGAATCTTGCCTAGTTCTGAATTGTGCTTTGCTTACTATTGCAAGAGGTGCTTGATATTTGGCAGAATGCAAATGCTGTGTGCTTTGATGTGGATAGCACAGTTTGTATAGATGAGGGCATAGATGAACTTGCTGAATTCTGTGGAGCCGGGAAGGCTGTAGCAGATTGGACTGCTAGGTTTGATGTTTATTTTTGGGATGAGAATTGTTTGTATGTGTACATTCAGTGCTTCAAATCCTACCGTTTTTATTTTCTTATTGGCTTTGCTAGGGCAATGAGTGGGTCTGTTCCCTTTGAGGAAGCCTTGGCTGCCAGGTTATCTCTATTCAACCCTTCATTGTCACAAGTTCAAAGTTTCCTAGTGAAGAAGCCTCCAAGGTACATGCCGTATATGAGTAACTGAGTATATATCTATCTACAGTGACATCTCCTGTGTTGTTCTCTGTTTATATCAAGATGTCAAACATAGTTTAGACTTGAGAGGCAAAACTTTCTGTAGGCGTAAATCTATGTACTAAACCAACCAGCAAAAAAAATAATGGGCATGTAATTTGGCATCTTAAATAAGACAACTCAACAAAAGTTGTGTGCAACAATATTTTGAATAAGGTACAGTATTCCAAATGCAGCCTGCCGGTTGCTTGTATACATTTCCTTGACTTCTGTTTAGGTCATCTCTCTCAATTTTTTATCTGAAGGGTCCTGAGGGTGTTGGTGTGATTTTTTCATGTTATCTCTGATAAGATGGTACCCCAAATGGCTGTTTGGGACTGGAAATGAGTCAAATCAAATAACGTATATGAGTCTATTTCTGAACAAACTTAAAAATCTAAGAAGCTTGTTATCTTTTATCATTGTGTTTCGAATGTACTTTTATGTGATTTAGTCTTTCAGATTTTCCTTTATCTAGGTTGTCTCCTGGGATTGATGAATTGGTCAGCCTACTGAAGAATAGAAAAAGGGAAATTTATCTTATTTCTGGAGGGTTTCGTCAAATGATCAATGTAAGTCAAGCTATAGCTTGGGTGGGACATGTTTCAATTTGTAGTTGATGTATCTATTTCTTTTTAGTCTAATCAAAGCATATAACAATATTGTCAGACATTCGAACTGCAGTGACATTTTGAACTGCAACTTTAGGCATTACAGCATTACCGCATTACAAAATCAAACTACCGTCTGAGCTATATGCCGATAATCTCTTTTCTTCTTATTTGCATTGGCTTTGTACTAAGCCATTCAAAAATCTATAAGGATGTCATTCATAAACTTATCTTCTCCAACATTATTTACCATGAATTTGATCTTATGAGTATCATGCAAGAGAACCAGAAAACCGCTATCTTTATTTGTGTTTCAAACAGTTTGTTTGATTTGTAAACAATGCTAGTATAGCTTGAGTAAGGACACTCATTTAAATTTGGAAGTTCACTTGATTTTTTTCTTTTGGTTAAAAAGTTCTATTTTTATTTGTCATCATTCAGTTTGATAGGGACCCGGACAGATTTGTGATATTAATAAGAAGATAAGAGGAACCCACGTAGAATCTGGTTATTAATAATAATATTACTAGTGTAAATAGAAGGAAGTAATGAATGAGGAGGCAAGTTTTTAGTTGGGATTAGGCTGTGGGAGATTGAGACCTCTCTAACAGTCTCATTACTTTTCTGTATTTTCAGTTGTAATCCACCATTAATGAAATCTGAAGCTTTGAATACTTCTTGATAGATTTTACAGTTTCTTTACTATTCTGTGAGTTATCTATCACAGTTTTATATGGTTAATGGTTAATCATTCTATATCAAATGATAAAGACTACTTTTCTCATGCTATATCATCATGCACTGTAGTTCACATCTTTCTGTTACCTTAATGCAAAAGGTACACTTTTTAATGCAGTATACAACTTGTAATTACTATTCTGATATTCTAATTTCCTAACTTTAACCTAATCCTCCCAGCCTGTTGCTTCCATCCTTGGAATACCAAGTAAAAACATTTTTGCCAATGAACTTCTATTTGAAAGTTCGGGGAAATTTATTGGGTTTGACAAAAATGAGCTCACTTCACGGAGTGGAGGGAAAGCCACTGCAGTTCGGCAGATACGAAAGGTTAGTGGTAATGATGATCACATTATATTTTTCCATTGGTATTCCTTTTGGAGCATAAACATGAAGTTTAAGATGTCCATTAGGATCATGGATACAAGTCACTAGTCATGATTGGTGATGGTGCTACAGACCTTGAGGTAAGAAACCATCTCTCCACATTCATTGTCACATTGAGGGTATGTTTGGATCCTGGGAAATGCTAGTGAAGCTAAAAATATGTGCTAAAGAAAATTATTTTATTGTGTTTGGCTTCACTTCGGAAAATGCTAAAGAAAATTAGTAATGTTTTTAATCCTTTTTAAATTATTTTTTATCTCTTGGTCTTTTTATTTCAGAAATAATTTGTTGAGTTTGAACCAACAGGGGTAAGACTGCGTACATCCGACCCACCCTTACCCCACCGTAGGTGGGAGCCTTTGCGGCACTGGGGTAAATGATGATTGATGATTGATTGATTGATTGATTGAACCAATGCTTTTATTTTCCCTAAGATGTTTTTTATTGGATTGTTTTCGATCCCAGACCTGATCAGACCACTTCAACGAACCAAGTCAGATCAAGCAGACTTAAGATGTTTATAACTGAATTGATTTTAGTGTCAGACCAAATCAGACTTAGACAATAGTAAATTACACATCAAACAGATATTTATCAGACCTAGAAAATTTCAGTCCCATTAAAAGCGTTTTAAAAAAGACTATAGACCATATGTTTTTAAATAAGTGCAACAATCCACTTTTCACGTTTGTCGATGCACAACTTTGACGATTAGTATATTTAATTCTCTATTAGTAAAAATAAATAAATAAACTCAGATTTTGAAAATTTACGATAAGGAAAATTTAACAATATATTTTTAAATAATTTATTGATACATTAATAAATAAGAGGTAATCAAAATAGAACATGTGAATAATGTAAAATTCAACATGTTGCACTTATTTAAGAACAAATGTAGTAGTAAAATACGCACGCATTAAACGTTTACCAGACCGGAAGAGATCATACCAAACCAGACCAGAAATTTATAGTCTAGCTAAAACATAATAGTTTTCATTCATTTAAAACCTCCCCTATTTTCTTCCCCTACATTTTTGGATTTTCAAACGTGTTTTGAGAGTGACAGATAGTACAATAACACCCCCACACCCTTGCCTGCTTTGCTGATCATGCAACAAAACTGAAATGGGTTTACAGGCTCGTCAGCCTGGAGGTGCAGACTTGTATATCTGTTACGGTGGAGTTCAACTTCGAGAATCTGTTGCAGCCAAAGCTGATTGGCTGGTCTTCGACTTTAAGGAGTTGATCAGCTCATTGGAATAGTATGTGCCTCTTTGTTACCCTTTCAGTTTATATTTTTTTGTGATTGATCATTTATTTGTTATTGATTGATAGGAGTCAATCCTGTCGTGCCTTTGTTGCACTCTCCTCTGCTTGATATCCAAATTTGTTTCGGACTTTTCTGAAGAAAGAATAAACACAAGTCTTCTATATGTTCCTTATTGATTGGAGCATCAACATTCTTTGAAGGCAATTGTATCTGCTAATTATGAAAAAATAATACTACGTATGTAAAAAGGCTAAAATGACCATTATCAACAAATTATGTTATATTTTTCCATGGTTTTCTGTTATGGCACCTGTCTTGACTACATCATGGTTAGTATTCTTCTTGATGAATTGCATCTTCCTGCATAGTGCAAATGGGTTATGCCTAGGGATGGACTCGGTTCGGGCCACCTGGCCCGGAACCGGCCCAGCCCGGTACTGTTTAGAACCGGCCCGGCCCGGGACACCGGTTACGGTTCGGGCCTAGGCCCAAGGGGTTAGCGGTTCCGGGCCCGGTTCGGGCCTTTTTTTTTCAATTATTTTTTCGTTTTTCCCGGGTTGGGCTGGGTGTTTTCTTGGGGTTTGGGGGGGTGGGGGTGAGGGGGGGGGGGGGGGTTAATTAGAAAAGCAAAAGAAAATTAAAAAAAAATAAGAAGTGAACCGGCCCGGCCCGGAACCGCTACCTACCCGGGCCGGTTACGGTTCTTCCTTCCCCAAAAAAAAAGCCCGGCCCGGGTCCATCCCTAGTTATGCCTAATGCCTATCAATGCGTTGTGATTGTAAGATTTACTTTGTATTTATTCTGGCATTGGACAGGGTAGCCAGGGTGTGTAAGACTGTAAGGTGTAAATTGAATTATTTCTGTTGGAAATATATGAAAAAAACTTTTATTTCTGTGTGAATTTGATCATTTTAGCCTCAATTTTATTATGGGGTTCAGGTGGGTGAAATCAATTATGTGCACTTCAAATTAATCTTTTGTGTTGAGGACTGTAGGAGTAGCAGTGAATGCTGACAATGAACACAACTTATTGGTCTTGAATTTAAAATTAATGTTTTGTGTTGATCACACTCAACGTTCGTTGCTTGAACTTGAATTCCTCCCAATTTCAACTAAATTCACCCACGTGAATCCCATAATAAAATTGAACTTAAAATAATCATTTCAATGGGAAATAAAAGTATTTTCCATATGCTTCGAAGCTCCAACATAAAGAGTTCATTTTACACCTTGCACAAATAGTTGCCTAGTATATAAAAACTATAATAAATGTTTAATGCTATGAATCAATTTGTGCGCATCCTTTCCTGGTAATTGTGAATAGTAAACATCGTGCACCAAATACATTATTACAACTATTGTAAAAGGAGAAGGAATCACCCTCTAATACGAAATACGTAGACACGTAGTACTCCCTTTGTCTCTATATAAAAGTATGTATTCATTTTCCACACATTTTAAGAAAGTGGGGTTGATTGGTATTGTTTGACACTGTTTTATTTGCCAAAAAGGAAAGAGGACTTTTATTTAGGGACAATTCGAAAAGGAAATAGATTCTTTTATTTAGGAACGGAAGGAGTATATGTTAAAGGACATGTCCCTACACATTTTAAAATAATCATGTACAAAAAGACTTAAAGATTAATTTTGAATGTTAATAGTATTATAGTAGGCCCCTAGTACTTTTCAATAATTTTAGAAGAAAAATGTTAAATAATGTTATTCTAAGAGAGATGTTACAAAAAGGACCTTATTACTTCGTCGAATACCCTTGTTTATAGTGATGGACCGGTTCCGGGCCGCCCGGCCCGTCACTATTTGGAACCAGCCCGGCCCGGTGGCCCGCTAGAGACCGGTTCGGGTAGGCCCGGCCTGGGGGTTAAGTTGGGCAGGCTCGGGGTCACCCAAATTAGGAACCGGCCCAACCGGGTCAGGCCCGGTTCGTTTTTTTGTTCATTTTTTTTATTTTCACTGGTTGGGCTGGGTGTTTTGGGGGGTGGGGGTGAGGGGGAGAGTCGGGGGTTAATTAGAAAAGCAAAAACAAGGAACCAGCCCGGCCCGGACCCGGAGGATAATCGGGCCGGTTCCGAGCCTCAATTGTCTCCCAAAAAGCCCGCTCAGGCCCGGTCCATGCCTACTTGTTTATAAAAAAACTATTTGTACATGTCCAATTTCATATGTGCCTTATACACGCGGCACACCATCCGTGAGGGTACTTTTTTGTTTGTGAATACACTATTCACAGATAAAATATACCCTCACAGACGGCATGTATAAGGCGTGTATGGATTTGGTGTATGCATACATTGTACAAGTGAAGGTAGTCCCCTGTATGTATCCATGACATTTATAATGTTACATCCATACATATGTTTTTGTTGGAACGAAAACTAGTCTCTATTCATATCATAAGTTTCAGAATCATTACATTAATCAAAGAAAAAACAAATCTGACACCAACTAGACTCCAACAACTACGACTGTAAACCCTATGATGAGCCTTAGAAACGGTCACCCCTGAAAGAGCAACACGAATCGCTAACCATGTAACGGGGTTGACACAGCAATCCATATTCCCATAGATCCAAACATGCTGAATGACATCAAACAAGGCTAAATTTCCAAACAAACTGATAAACCTAACAACATAGACGGTAACCAGAAACCAAATGACAAAATAATGAAAACTTATTTGAAAACTTTCACGGACTCTAGCATCTCACACAATTAATGTCGGTGGTTTAGGAGGAGGCCGTATCCTTGGTGTCACTCTAATTGATCCTCCATTGTCAATCATCATTATCTGGCCTGCTCGAAATCCGTGCAACTCTCCTCATCCCGCGCTCGTAGCAAATCCACCGCTAGCGGTCATCTTTATCATTGCCATGCTCTTGCTACCCTGCTCACGAAGAAATCGATCGCCGAACTCTGGCTTCGATGTTGTCAAGCTTGGCCAAGGATTCTTATCAATCTGCCTCAAATCCAATCACAGCGCCGGGCACAGGTGAAGGGGATTCACCTGCCGGAAGAACCAAAGCTTAGATCTGCTAATGAAAAACCAATCCCTAGACTTGCTAGGGAGAGACCGCGGCTTCTAATTGGTACATCCATACATATGTTATAACTTATAAATGAAGCCTTTTGTGTTTAATAATTTCAATAAAAGGTTAGGGATATATATTACTACCTCCATGACATTCATATCTTCCTATTTAAAAGTAGATGAGATTATGAATATTGAAAGAAGATATAAATTAATGAGACTATGATATGAAGATAATGAAATTATGTTCTGAAATAAAGGATAAATCTAAAAAAAATAGTTGTAATAATGTATTTTCATAATTATTGAGGGTGTGATGAGAAGATGTAAAAAAGAGAAGATATGAATGTTACGGTTAAAAAAAGAAAATGGAAAGATATGAATGTTATGGTGAAAGTAACTTTAATTTGAGGCTATTCAGAAGTATATTTCTTTCTTTTTTCATATTTGAAATAGAGAAAAGTTTGTTTACACTCCTTTTTTCTTTTGGACTGAAATTTGCTGGTCTGGTCTGAACTGGTCTGGTAAATGTCTGGTCTCGAGATATTTTATAACTACGGAAGTCTGGTTTGGTCTAATCTGATCTGGCCTGATCTGGTCTGAAAAAAGTCTAAAAGAAAACATCCTAAGAATTAAGATTAAAATAGTAAGAGTAGCTACTAGTATAAAAAAGTAGAAAACATCCTAAGAATTAAGATTAAAATAGTAAGAGTAGCTACTAGTATAAAAAAGTGGGAGAACATTATTATGGAAAACTATTAAAGAGAACGACGGAAAAGTAAGAGTGATTAACTTTAAATGAAAAAGTTGATAAAAATGAAAGTATGACAATTATCTAAATAAGAATCAAAAAAGAAATATGCAAAACAATATCTATAATTTTATATAATAAAAGTGAGTTAAAAATAAATGTTGTGTCAACTTTCTATTGGATAGTGCAAATTCCATTATCACTATTATTATTAAAACAATTCAATGATTCACGGTGTCACTATTATTCCTCCTAAAGTCGTGCATCAAAGTTGTTTTGGAGCGAATAGGAAGGGGTTTACGTCTTCGTCTTTACAGGACGACTCTCTCGTCTCTCTAGGTTGCCGCAAGGTAATCGCTAGCTTCGATTCGTCCGCTATCGGCCATTGCTGAGGAGCGGGGCTGGTTAAACCGACCAATTGTTCGAAATGGAGAGTCTTCTCTCTAGCGGTCATCTCCTTACGAGTTAGGGTTTCGTTTCTTCTGCTTTTGTCATCGATGAAAAGCGGTTGTCGGTCGATTTCGGTCATGCAAGCAGGCTCGGGATCAGGGATGCAGCGCTTTGGCGGCCAGGCTCGACTTCTGCTGTTGTTTCTGGTCAAAGGTCGAGTGTTGACAAAGAAAAGGCGGATAAGTTGTGGCGGAGTATGGTTTCGATTCAGCAGCAAGGGATGTCAAAGGAGGATATCGTCAATCAATACAAAAGCATGACTATTGAGGCGGATGAGAGGCGGACGTGTCCTCTTCCTGAGCCGCCGCTATGGAGTGCAAACAAGTCTAGGGTTTGGAGGAAGATGGGTGAACTCTGCTTTAATTCCGTTATATTCTGTTTGTGTTTTGGATGTGTTCTTATTTCGAATTGCATGTTGTTTTGGATGTGTTCTTATTTCCTAGCAGAGAGATTCTAGAATTTAAGTCAGGTGATGAGAAGTCTGGTTTGCCTGTCATTGGCCCAGTTAAGCCCATTACAAGATCATCGAATATTATTGCTTCTACACAGGTGATATATTCTAAGTCTGGTTCGAGGGCGGATGACAGACATGAGGCTTGTTATCACTTTGTTTACTTCTTTTTCTTTGATTGTATTATCAGCCATGTGACGAACGTTATTTTGATTTAATATATTTGTTGGATTTGATGATAAAAAAATTATTTTGGAGCAAGTCAAGGATACAAAAATTCTCTTTTTCAAAGTAATATGGAGTATATTTTTTATATTTATAATCCAATTTTTACAAAAAAACATATCAAAACTCACAAATTTTTTATGATCTTTCATATGATACCAATATTAGATATATGAAAATAAAAAAATTATCTATTATTTTATATAGCAAAAGTAAGTTAAAAATTCTATTGATTAAATTAATAAAAAAAATTATTATTATTACTACTAAAATATGTAATTCATATAAGTGGACTCGATTCATCGTTGCTATTCGCTATGCATCACTGCTCATTTGGAGGAAGGGAAGAAGAAAAAAATCATTTTTTTAATATATTACTCCCTTCGTCCCTAAATAAACATC